CATTTGGCTTTTTGTTTGGAGGTGAAAGGACTCTCTAAAATAAGAAAACTTGTTTTAAATCTTTCAAAAATTTACCTTAGGTAATCAGATAATCTTTCTTTCTTTTACCAAAAACTTTGACATTTTGAAATGAGACCGCAAGTAAAGATTACCTTTGCGACAGATGACTACAAGGCTAAAGGTTAGCCTGGAGTGCATTTTTATAGCAGTATCGTAAGTGTAAAACCTAGTGTCCTGATGGAATGCTGACAGATTGGTAAGTACTGCTGTGTGAAGGGTGTTAATTCATTATCAAATTATAAAGTACTTAGAGGTGCTGGCCAGTTAACTTGTTGAATTCCCTAAAGATTCTTTACCCCACAGTGTTCCCTTTAGGAGAATAACTGTTCTGATATATTTGCATAAAAGGCTTAACCTTCTTGATTTAGCTTGAAGAGTAGAAAGGGTCTGTCAGTTGGAAAGAAAAGTGTTGTTTAATCTAAATGAAAATTAATTCAAAGAGAATTTAATGTTTGAAGACTTTGGTCTCATTCTATTGCATTTGCTTCATTATGGCCTTAGGTGAATCGAATCCTTTGTTTTGGTTCATCCAACTGCTCTCTTTAATGTGTGTTCTGGATCATTCCCAAGAAATGCTGTAGGGTTAAGTTGAGGGCCTGGGAATGTGGGAGAGAAACACAACTTGTAGGTGTCAGACAGCCTGCTGAAGGTCTCTACATCTATGCTTTGTTACACTATGCAACTGGGAGCCTTCCAAAATAATAAAATGATGGTTTTTATTGAGAGTTTTCATTTGGAACAGAAAGAGTATTTGGGGAATAAGTCTTCTGTATGACCTGCCTGCCACTAGAGGGCAGAATAGTAATAATTCCTGGACAGGCCCAATTCTGATGGTATGGGACTACCATTGGAACATATTTACCAATATTAATGAATACAGGAACTTAAAAGCAGTAGAATTCTGACTTTAGAGAACATTTGGAGACGTTTCTCAGCAGAGAAATTTGTTGAAATGCAAATTCTTGGATCCTAACCCTTTCAACTTTTGACTGGCTATGGATGGGGATTCTTATTTTGACTTCTTTGGGAAACACTGGTATTGAAACATTGATCTTAAAATTTTTGGTTTGTGTTTTTGTCCAATTATTTTTTCTCTTGGGATTGCCAAGTAAAATGTTTTGTAGGGAAAAGAATTAGTAATTCCTTAGTAATTTAGTAATTCTAAGGTATAGGGCAACAGAGTGTTGGTTAGAGGCTTTTTGTTTTAACAAGTTTCAAAGTAGACTCACTTTCTAAAAATTCACAATAAAGAAGCTACTAAAAACATGTTTTTATTTGGAGTCATACTTAAGTTAGTGAAGATCATAAAATCCTTGTCCTACATGGCTCTAAACAATTGAAAGCTATTCATTTTATGACCATTTCACAATGCCTCTAATCTTAGCCTTTGAGTGTCATGAAGACCCCCACAAAGGATATCTTTTTATTATGAAATACAGTTGTAAAGACATTTTGAGTGGAGTTATGTAATGGTGTCATCATTCTGAACAAATAGGAAGATCTTCCTTTCAAGTACAAAGATCTAAAGGTAGAAATGTACATTGCTCTTACTTGAAGAACAATATGCATTTCTACCTTCCCCCCACCCCCAGTACTTCTAGGAGGTAACAACCTCTTCTTGGGTAAAGTTTTGCCATTGTTTCTAGATAGAAGGATATAAAATCATTGAAATATTTTATAGGGTTCTGCAGCTCAGAAAGCCAAATAGCTAATGGAACTGTAAGTAAAACGTGTTGTGAAGCTGCAATGAGAATGGTAAGATTCAACTCAAATTGAGTTGGAACTTGAATTGGAAGATTTTCCCCCTCTTAAATGTATACAAAAACAGTGTCTTCCATGGGCTTCTCATTGGCTGCCTTTCTCACACTTGCCACACTGGCTACTGCCTCTGCTTCATGTGGAGATTTCTCAGTGTCACTGCTACTCTCGCTGGTTTTTCAAGGTTCTTCTACAATTATATGTGAGTGAATATAAGGAAGTTTTGTAACCTCCTAACTACAGAGACATACATGCTAAAAAGTAAGAAGTTATTCTTAAGAGTAAAGGGCAAAAATCAAGCCAGTAACATGAATTTTATTGAAAAAAGGACAAGGATTTTTAAAAAATTATACTTTTACCATGAACTTTTAAATTAATGATGCTCTTGATAAGTTATTTAACTGACATTGCTCCTAAAGTTTCTTTTGATGCTGATATGATTATAGGTAAGGTTAGTAAATTTTCACTAATGTTCGATTAACCACTTGGGGAAGCTTTTTAGGATTACGATTTGAGGCAGATGAGGAAATGGGACCCTGTAATCATGAAGTAAAAAACTTGTGGTGGTAACTTATTGTAGAGCAATGCTCCGACTTTGGTGCAATTAAGAGTAGGAAATTGAATCCTTACAGAACCAGTGGGTTGAGAAATAGCCCAGAGCTTCTCAGCCTCTATTAGTTACAGGTGTGCCAAGAATGGAGCTCCTTGGTTCTTGGGGCAGCCAGCGGAGCTCTGGGTCGATGGGAGTCCACCAACCACTCATCTCTGCCACGTAATCCTATTTTCCCAATGCTGTACAAACATGTGCTCTCGCGTGCTCGTTCTCTCGTTCTCTGGGGCGGGGGGAGGAGAAAAGAGGGAGGGGCTAGGTAGTACCAAGAAGATTTCCTTTCTGAATACTTTACAGTTTCTGCAGGTCACTATTTTATTTGATAACTCTCCTCTGCAACTTTTAACTATATCCTCCCTTAATTATGAATTGGAGAACAGCATTAAGGTCCATTTTGAAAGCTGTAAGTAGCTCCTTCTAAAATTCCAGGCCAAGGTGACTTAAAAATAATTCTGAAAAACATTTAGGCCATCATGTATTTTGTAATACAGTTGGGTCACTGCCGATTCCCAAGATAAATGTGTTTAAACAGCAGCTTTCGCATTCATCACTAGCCACAGCTTTCATCCAAGTTTATATGATGATGATGCAAGCCCACAGCCTGGTGTTGCAGTTCATCACCATGGAAGTGTTTCTGTCAACAAATCCTAGCTTTGCTGTCATGAAATTGATTTTGCAGAACAAAGAGCATAATTGGGAGAGATTGCTTTTACTTTTAAAGATCTTCACAAGTTTTCCCATTTCTAAATGAATGGTGTTTAAAATTAATAACTGGCAATAAAAATGACCACTCTAAATTAACAGTTATGGTTTGGGAAAGGGTAGTATCACAGTAAGCTACTTTGTCTGAAATCATCTTTTTGGAATGTGACTTAGAGACTGAGTTTGTAGTTTCAAATGCTCGTCTAAGAGCTGGTGTTCTCAGGTACAGAAGACTGTGTTATGCTCAGGTATAAGATGTATAAATGAGCTAAGTATAGCATTTTGTATGATGTCATGTGCTGTATACATATACACGTCTTAACAATCTTTGGACTTTACTTGCTTGCAGAAAGCTTAAAAAATAATTAAATTGTAATCTTTTGAATGCAGGCCACTTACTAGCAGGGTAGATAGCACCTACGTTAATATAACTATTTTGAAACCAAACAGGAAAAAGGAAAAAGAATGACAGTTTTGTTTTGAAACAGATTTGAGAAGTAAAAGCTAGTTATCTCATATTCGTTGATAAAAGGTTTAGATGTAGATACAAATGTTTCATGAGAGATTTGGCTTCTGGTAGAAATGCAGTCAACTCTTATCAGTCTTTTTAATTTTACCATCAGCTAATGCATTCTTTCTTAAATATTGCATTCCATTATTATAAGTAGACATTTACTAAATACCTATTATGTTTCAAAGTCTATGCAATGGGACACTGTTTCCCATTTTCACATATTACAGTTTAGGTTATGGAAGCCATGGAAGCCCTGGTGGCTTAGTGGTAGAAAGTTATGCTGCTAACCCAAAGGCATGCACTTCTGGTCTGCTAGCTGTTCCATTTGATAGTACACAATAAGAAGAACAAGGCTTTGGAAACTCACCCAATGAATGAGTGACAGAGTGAAAGAACAATAGAATTCAGACTTAACTGGCCATTATTCCTACTCTCTAGTTTTAACAGTGGTTGTCCATGTCAGTTCAGAACCTCTATTAACAAGCATCAGGGAGCTCTGGTGGCTTAGTAGTAAGGAGTTGCACTGCCAACCTAAAGACACACAGTTCAAATCCACTGGCTTCTCTGCGGCAGAAAGATGGACAATCTCCTTCTGTGTGATTTACAGCCTCTAAAAACCTACTGGAGGGTCAGTCATGAGTTGGTTCCCACTCGAAGGCATAGAATATATGAACAAGCTTGGAAACTGGCCATATTCTGTTATAATTTTAAAAAGCATTCCCGCATTGCTATGTTGGATATGATGGATGTGAGATACATCCCAAGCATGAAGTTTGCACTTGAGTTATCTTACACTTCACTTTGAAATCAAAGACATAAATCTTTATTCATATGAACCACTTCCTCCTTTTCTAACATGTGATCAAAAGTTTACTGTTTATGGGAAATATGTCCTAGTTATTTTAGTTTAAGAAAACATTAATAGACATCATGAACAGGAAATAAAATTCTATTGTACATGCAAAAATGTAAAACAGAATGACCAAAAGAAAATCCAGCAAGCAATGGTAAAAATAACAAATCATTTACTGTTTTATAATGTTAAAGTCTTTCACCAAGACAAGTTGCAATCAAATTAATGTGAGTTATGGAAAATGACATACATAAAGATGTATTTATACAAGTGCAAACTAAATATTTTCCATACAGGTATGTAAATGAAAAGATAGACAGTAAGTGCACACTTGATACGACTATGCAGGCAACACTCAGTTAGTTTTAGATACTCTTGGATGGTTCATGCACAAACTTTCCCAGAGTACAAGTTCAGTCAGTCTTTTGGGGGATTCGGAGGGATGATTATCAAAGGTTTGAGTTCCTTGCAGGAAGATCAGTATGGACTGAGGGTGAGGGTGGTCAGTTATATATATTACTTACTGTAATCTGTGATTGTCGAGGAAGAGGTGTGGCTGTTGGTGTGATAGTAATACTGCTGGTGACTTTATTGGTGCTTTTATTTAGTGCCCCATTCGTTAAGCCTTGAGTTCGGTTATCCTGCGGTGGTGTGGAAGGGCTGGCAGGTCTCACGGGGCTGGCCACAGCTTGCATGTAAGGACTTCCTAAGTGAATGTGGATTTTATTATCCTCAGTAGTTATCACACTTGACCCATTACTGTTTGAACGCTGAAACTGCCATGATGACTGCCGGTCTGGGGAAACTCTGAAAATCGCGTGCTTGGCACTGATTTCTATTGGCTCTGGGGAGCGTCCTTGCTCTGGAGAGCTAGCTGAACCAGTCACAGCCAAAACCTGAATAGGTGACATTGTCCTTTCTGGAGTTATAGAACCACATGACTCTGGGGTCTGTGCTCTGGCAAAGGTTGCCATGGTAATCGGGGACATGCCTTGCTCTAAATTTGTGAGGCCTTCAGTAGCAGTTTTGGATTTCACTGGCGTTATGGAGGCATTCTGGAGGATTGTTATCCTTTGCTTTGGGGTGCCACAGTTTGGAATCACTGCTGTGCTTGTGTAGGAGTGAGGACTCTCCGTGGTCGGACTTGTGATTTCAAGAGTGGCTGTGTTTTGGGCATGGTCTGGAGTAACTTTTATATGGAGTGGTTGCCCAGGCGTGTGACTCAGGACAAGATCTCCAGGTTGCACAAAGTTGCCATTGGCCTTAGCTTGTAGTTTTCCATTCTGAGGATGGCCCTCCTTGGATTTCATCCAAGGAATCCATAGCTTCCTATTAACAGGACAGGGAATGGAAGAGTTGCATTTGAAGGACAGCACTGATTCCTCCTCAATGGGGTCCTCCCCGTGGTCCTCACTCTCCTCATACAACTGCCCGTTGATGACTGCTCGTTCCAGAGGAATGAGACTTTTATAATCAGGTGGTTCATTGTCTACTGCTTCTGTTTGGACTTCTTTAGAAAACACCTGAGGATCAGAGATTCTTCTTCCATTGAGACTAGGCCGGAGGGTCTTACTGAAATGCCGGTACCTCTCTAGCTCCTTAGTGAGGTTTTCAATTTCTCTTCCTAAGTCTCTATTCCTGTTTTCTTGCTGATTGAGTTTCTTTTGCAGAACTGAGTGATCTCCCTGGAGGTGACATATTAGGTCCTCAGTAGCCATGTACTCGTGAATTTTCTCTTTTAAAGCATCAACCTCTCTCTCAAGGTGACCTGACTTTGCTTCTTCTTCTTGAAGCCTTTTAAAAAGCCACTGTTCATGACTAGACTCAGTCTTTTCTGCTAACTTGTACTTGGCAAGTTCCATTTTAACATGTTCCAGCTCTTCAGATAAAAACTGAGCTTTGTCTCGTTCACTAGCATACCTTCGTTCCAGAGTCTCATACTCGTCTTCTGTTTTCATGAGGTCATCCTCAATGGCTTTCATGTCCTTCAACTTCAGTTTCAGTCTTTCTACTTCTTGAGAGAGCTCTTTAATCTTATTGTTTTCTTGGTGTAACGTTGTTGTGGACCTGCCAGTATCTTGTCTTAATTTGTTTTTTAGGGAATCTTTCTCAGTTGCTTCTAATGATTGAAGTCGACTTTTCAACACACTAACTTTTGACAGGAGATCATTTCCTTTCTCCTCTTCTGCTTTCAGTTTCTTTTTTAGATCATCTCTCTCTTTGGTTACACTGTACATCTTTTCTTCCACATCGGTTTTGGACTTCAGCGCCCTTTTAGTTTCCTCAATTAACTTCTCAGTAACCGTTGTAACTTTATTTTGTTCCGCTTGAAGCTGAGAAGCAGCAACTTGTAACTTATCTTCAGTTTGCTTTAATTTCTCACTCATGGTTTTCCGTTCATCAACAAGCATTACAGTTAATGTTTTCAATTTAGTTAAGTCCTCTTTTAGCGTAAATTCTGTCTTCTCCAGCCGACTTTCAATGGCTTCTAACTCTTTGATCCTCACTTTTAAACTCTCCAGTTCTTGAGACAGCTGCTTTGTGGTCATCCTTTCTTTTTCTAAATTACATTTCAGAGAGTAACATTCTTCTTTGCTTTTGTTGAAAGCATCTTCTAATTTTTCCAGGCCCATAATCCTTTTACTGAGTTTGTCAACTTCTAGTTTAAAGTCTTTACTCTGGGATGTTTCCTTTTCCAGCCTTTTATTGAGATCTCTGCACTGCTCTTCCATTCTTATGAGCTCCTCGTCCTTCCCTTCCATTTCTAGCACACGTTTCCTGAGCTCCTCCACTTCGGTCAGGATACTCGAGTTTCCATATTCTCCTTTGTTGATTTTTTCTTTTATATCTTGCAGCTCTTCTTCGGCTTTACGTAAAGACCGGTTTGTCTCTTCTAACTCATCAATTTGCCGGCTGAGGGCTGCCAACTTTTGTCTGAGCTGACGATTTTGGCTGTCCTCATTGGTGAGCTTTGCCATAATTGCTTCTTGGTTCTGGTGAAACTCTGTGGTCTGTGTTTGCAGTTCTTCCTCTAGTCTGGTTGCTTTCTGCTCTTCTTCCTGAGCTCTGGCCTCAGCAAGGGCTAGTTTAGCGTGTGTTTGCTTCGCACTCGTGGTCAGGTCTTGGATTTTCTGTCTTTGAAGGGTAAGCTGTGCCGTCAGCCTTTGTTGTTCGTCCACCACCATCAAAGCAAAAGACTTAAGCTTGGTCAGCTCGTCCTTCAGGGCGGTGACCCTCTTCTCCTCTTCTTGCTCCTTCCTTTCCTGGGACTCCGTTTCTTGGTCAATCAGCTTCTTTAATCTGCAAAACACAAGAATGCACTCAGTGTTGTGACTGATACTTTTTTAACCTAACAACTGTGCTTGAACACTTAGGTAATTTAGAAAGATTTTATCAGCTTACATAAGATATGGAAAGGAGTTTCTGAGTTTCATAAGGGAGCTAAATCTTTTTCTCAACAAATGTTTTGCTTTTTTTCCTTTTACAGTTGCCTGGGAAGCATTTCAGTTCTCCAGGAGCCCTATATTTGGTTTAGATTCCTCATATAACATGTAATAATCAGTTGGCAACCTAGCCTGAAGGCTATGAAAACAGCCATATGCCTGATATTAAGACAGGTCAGCTTATCAACTATCTAACATGACTAATTATTGAAATTCTTTGAACTTCAGTATCCCCATATGAAAAATGAGTATTGTATCACCTTGAACTTTTTATTGCAATTAAATGAAAATGCATCCAAGACCCTACTCACAGTCCTGGCACAGTAAGCCTTTGATCAGTGTTAATTGTTTTTTATACTAATGAGGTTATTATCTTTAATTAAATGGCTTATGGGAACTGTTATAATATGTGGTACATTAATAAGCGATAGTCAACTTCCTGGTTCTTAGTTAAAAGTTTAGTCACATTTCTTAGAAGTTACTGGTATATCCCACATTCACTGACAGACCTGTCTGTCAAGAAACTTGGTTTGCATTACCATTTAAGGAGCCACTCATATATACCTTATTCTACAGAGAATGGAAATTTAATGAAGAGAACTGAGAGACATCTCAGGGGTTCAGAATTTTCCCAACATGAAAAAAACATGAGGTGTGGTAAGAAGGAGCTTATTGATCAAGGGCAGAGAGTTTATTATCAAGAACATAATTATTCCTTCTTAAATGTCATCTTTTTCTTTCATCTTTTTAATCTGTCAACATAATCTGCAGTCTAAATTCTCTCTTCTACATATTTTTCCCACAGTAGTGAGATCACAGTCTTAAATTTGTGGCCCTCTTAATTACACTGGGAATAGACTGATTATAGAGCATGTAATTACAACATTTGAAGTATTGTTATGTTATACAGAAGCTAAAATAGAATGGAATGCCTCAAGGATTTACTAAAAGATTTGTCAATGGTGAAGTTATAATTTTTTTTTCTGGTAAAGAATGGAAAGTTCTTAATATTTTACCAATATATTGTCTTTTCTATTATTGTTGTTGTCATGTGCCATCAGGTTGCCTGCAACTCATAGTGACCCTATATACAGCAGCTCTGAAACCTTCTCTATCCTGAGACAGTCTCACTTGACTCCAACACACCAACCTCTTTTGCCCCAATTACTTTATCAGTCCATCTCATCCAAGGTCTTCCTCTCCTGCGCTATCCCTCCTCCCTTCCAAGCATGATGTCCTTGGTCCCTTCTGGCCACGTGCCCAAAGTATGTGAGACAGAGCTTTAAAATCCTAGCCTCCAAAGAGAAACTTGGTTTTACCCTCTCCAAGATAGACTTAATCTGTTTTCTCAGCAGCCCATGGTATGTTCAAGACTCTTCTCTGCTACTGCAACTCAAGGGCATTGATTCTTCTTCTGTGATCCTTAGTCATTGACCAGATCTCTGATACATAGCAAGTAATTGTAAAGACCATGACCTGGATCAGGTGCACTTTAGTCTCTAGACTGAGATCATTGTTTCTCAGTACTCTGGAGAGGCCCCTGAGAAAAGATTTTTCTCAGTGATTTCCTGACTACTGGTACTAAGAGTATTGATTGTGGAACCAAGAAAACTGTCATTGTTAACAACCTCAATCTCTTCTCTATCATGAGAACTAATGAAGTTAGTCTATCATGGGAATGAGTTAAGTGTCCAATGTATGTCATTAATCTTTACTACAGAATTTTCTTGAGAGAAGTTTATGAATTTAAGAGAATAATTTTAAAAGAAAGTAATTTTGAGCTGCCTTCTTAGAAAGAATTATTTTTGAAGTCCTACTCTGTTCTTTTTACATGATTATACTATACAAGATGATATACAACAACATGCTGAAAGTTACTGTATAATGCAAGATGTCCCAATTATTTTTTTTTATTTGTAGGTGTATGTAGGGTACTTTTAGTTTTTCATCTTTTGAGAAATGACAGGTGAATAGCCCAAGGGCTGTAACAGCCTGAGATTTAGAAGCAGCAGGACAGGATGCTAGGGGTGAGGTGGTAATGTTCTTATCCATGACTGTGTCAAGATGCTTGTTCCTGGCTCTCACTGTGAACCACTCCCTATTTGAGATGCCTGGGAGCCTGCGAAGGGAAATATGGCAGCTTCTTCCTGAGTGGTTATGGAGTTCATAACTATGTGGTAGATTCCATAGATGAAATGCCTGCTGGAGATTTCATTATCGAAACATTGGCAAAGTGGCTCTTCCTCCCACCTTAGCATTAGAATCAAGTTATATGGTTTTGACAATGTGTTGAGCAAACTCATCATATTATTTTCCACTCTACACAATTCTCATGATTTTGAAAAGCGTTTCACAATAAACTCTTCTAGATGGTTTGGTGGTTTGTTTTCCTTCCCCACTTACTAAATAATATGTGCCGTTTTCATGAGAAGAGGGTGTGAGAGCAGGGGAGACTGTTTTGCAATTTAATGAGAGTATTTAAATGGAATGGTGATTAGTGAACCTTGGCAATTTATAGGGAAAAAAATTTCAAAAAAATGTCAGTTGTTTCTATTGCATTCAATACTTTTGGCATTCTCAGTGTAAGCAAGATACATCTTTTCATGATTTCTAGAAATTGGCTAACATCCTTATCTGCTCTCAAGCCCCATCTTACAAGATAACTACAAGTGACATCTGAGTGTATTTGTGCTCACCATTTTTTTACTACTTGTTTCTCCGCAATTTGCCACTTCCCTGGGCTATTCTCTTGAGAACACTAAAGGCAGTCAGTAACCTGGTCATGTCAAGTTTTTCAGGGAGAGAAATGACAGTTTATATGTAGAAATATAACTAGGTGCATACTTTTTCTTTCACAGAAAACAAACTTTCTTATAAAAATGTTTTGTGTATCTCTATCCCACCTAACCTGTCTATATGAATGCTTTCATAAAATATTTGCTGAACACTAACTGTATTTTAGTGATCTGTGGTCTACAATCTCTTGAGTCCATGACTCTTAAAGCCAAATGTTTTCAGAATTCCAAGATTTTGGAAGGTTGTAGGAAAGCAGTAAAAACCATTCCTAGCAAGGCCTTTTATCATACTCTTGGTTTTGAAGTTATTTAGTGTGCCACTGTGCTGTGCTTTTGCCCTTGAATGGTGATCTCTGGGAAAAGTCTCAGTTCTAAGTTGAAAATATGTCTTTAGGTGACACTATCAGGGAGTCTTATTCTTTTCTCTACTGTCCCAGTTTGTCTGTTTTCCATCTTTTTAATAGAAATCTAGGTTTAACTCCATATTTTTCTCTCATTCTACTCAGAAGAAACTATTGTGCCTCCAGTCAGAACTGTTAGTATGATAGCTGGTCTAGTTCTGGTCTCAAAGTAGATGAGAGTTGTGGCTCTTGTGAACTTGTTTCTTCCTGCACTTTTGATTACCTTCTTCCTGTTTTGCTCCTTATGAATAGAGGCCCATAGTTATGTCTTAGCTGGCTACTTGCAAGTTTTTAACATCCCAAAAGTGTTGTTGTTTCTTTATCTAGTGCTCCAGAGGTTTCCACCCCAAAATACTGCATCTTGATACAATTTTATCAAATAAGAAAGGCAGCAGCTATTTTTGAAAGGGAAAGGAGAATTCACAGAACACAAATACTGTCAGATCTGTTTAGAAAAATAAATTTCAGAACTGGGGTTATAGAAATTAATTCCCTTCATGACTGCATAACCCTAGAAAACCTTTGTTCACCCTCGGCAGTACGTGTACCCCATTTGGAAGACTACTTTCTTGCAATACACATATTCATGTTCAAGTACTGACACCACAGAATTATAAGGAACATTCATTGAATTCTGTCCAATAAAAACAGGTTATAGAAGCTGGTTTTATGAACACAAATGTGAGGTAGTTAAATCCAAACTGGCTTAAAGCAGTATCTTATTACAGCTTTTCTTTTAAAGTTTCTATTATGGTTCAAAACTGCTATTACTTACTGTGGTTTATCACTATTATTATGTGTAACACCAGTTCCTGGGTTATGTGTGTGTGTGTGTGTGTGTTTCCAAGAATATCACATCTGTCATCTTGAATGTTCTTTGGAACTAACCAACTAACCATAATGCTGATTCTTCACTACAAATTATACATTTAGAGGGTCTTTTTAGTTTTATTTACACACAAATATGTCAGCACACATGTGTTACTATATTTTATCTTCCTCTATGTGACACACAAATGAGTTTTAGTAATATGCATCATATAATACACATATGAAACAGATGGAGTGTCTATATGCTATGCCAGTTATAGCCATAAGAATTTAAACAAAACTCTCACCACTTTTGATTTTGTCTTTGTTATGTGCCTTACCGTCAACCCTACTAAAATACAAAAAACTTGTCTGATTCATGTGTATCTCCTATGGCATCCTTCCACAAAGCTCTTATACATGGAGGATGGGATCAAGTGAATAATGTCCATTCCCCAGCTCCTCAGTCTCCTTTGGTTATTTCATCTCTGTAAACAATAACAGTAACAACAAGCAAAAAAATTATTCCTTTTTTTGCCCCTCAAGTCAGGAGTTCTAATGGAACGAGTATTTGTTTTATTATACAAACATTATTATTAGATCAACAGCAAATGGAATTGAAAAGAATACTCGTCTATGATTCTATCCCACCAGTGATGTTTCTACTTTTCCAGATTCTTAGACACTGGCCTAGATCAATTCCACAGCTATTAATGTCATACTTTGTTTTTCTTAGCTACAGAAATCAAACTATAAGTAGGGAATAATTTCAGTCTGCTTAGTTTCTCATTAGAAATTTAAGGAGACATATATGCCACTGAATTTACTAAGTGGATATTGAATTTAAAACT